TACGTACGTACATACATACTTACTTACTTACTTACATACATACATACATACATATAAATATAAATATAAATATATGTATATATATGTGTATATATATATGCATATACACATACATACATGTGTTCAGTAAATGTGTATGCAAAATTGCATGCATGGATGGATGGATAAACAAATATATGCATTAATGACTAGATAAGCAAATATGTGTGTGATACACGTATATACACAATATCTCTCTCGCTATATATATATATATATACATACATATGTGTGTATATAGAACACACACACATATATATATATATGTTTGGCTCTCGCTCTCTCTCTCTCTCTCTCCGCCTTTTCGCAGGGTACGGTGCTGCACAGGCAGAGGAAGATTTTGTCGGACTAAACAGTGGCAGTTTACTAACTTTTACTCACAAACACGATTACGTTGGTTTCGCGTTGGGGGAAATCCGCTGTGCTGACCTCGGTGCAAGGAGCCTTCGATTGGATCTGACTCAGAGGTACAGTCCGAAGCCAATTGGTGGCAGAGAGGCATGACCTTTCGTAGCAGTCTAAGGCGGTTCTTTCGGAGATGGGAGTGATGTCTTGCTAAAGGTCTGGCTGTCGATCATAATGGCCTGTCCGCCTGACTCTGGCTTGCTGGTCATGTTAACGAGTAGTAGAGGCGGGCCGAGCATCTGAGGGGAGGAAATTCCAGTGGCCAGCATCGCAAAAGCTCGACATGAGCCTCGAGCTGCGCCCCCCTCTGGGGGACATGGGCTCTCCGGACGTGGCTTGGCCTGCCAATTGCGGAACCCGTCGCATGCAACGAGTCAGCGGACTGACCCACGGAGCCTCAGGACATGCTTGAGCCATGCTTGCCAGCATCTTGGTTTGCACACGGATTGTCTGTGTCTGACTGTTCAGACATCCACCCATTATTATCCGCTGCTGTATGGACTTAAACGAATGCTGTTGATAGTTCAGCACGCGTAGGAGTTACCTGTCTCTCATGCAGCAGAGAAGCATACCGTGACCCGTGCTCTCGCACTTTCCGGAATCATTCTGCTCCAAGACAAGTGGCGTGCTCGTCGTGTTTGTGCCAAGAGTTCGTTCGAACACTTGGTAGAAGAGCCACTGCCGCCGCTGTGCTGAGCAGCCTGAACAAGAGCAGTGTATATCAGTCATCAGCACTTCTGACTTGCTAAATGCTTGATACAAGTGGGCACAATGCACAGGTATAGCGAAGCATGAGCACATCCAGCTGGCTAGCATTTGTCACACAATGTGGCACAACAGGTGGATATCACACAACATCGCGCAAACGTTCCAAGAGAGTGGAGACTATTGATTGCCTGCTTCCAGCCATCACGACAGCAAGCACAGGAGCAGCCGCTGACTTCAGAGAACTCGCCCATTCCGAAAGCTTGGCCGTACCCACCGACACATTCTATTGCAGCTCGACGGCATTCAATGCCCCGTGTTGTCCAACCGTGTAAGATTATCTCAGTGTAATAGGGTAATGTACCGTGTGAACAAAAACAGGCTTGCAAGATAATGTATTTCCCTGGATATTGGCTCGCGCGAGTATGCGTGCATGCATGTACGCCAAGTTATTTTCAAGTGTATGTATGCAGGCGCACCGGCATGTGGCCAGATCAAGCCCTTGTGTTGTCGTTTACTTAGCCCTGAATCTTGACCTGGAGGTATAATGTCATATAAGCGATGCCGAGATTCCGCGTACGTCCGCCTGGTTCATAGGAAAGAGCATTGGAAGGCTGCATTGTTCTATAATGAGGGTCCTGTCTAGTCTAGCGGGTTGGGGAAGTTATTTTGGTTCCGGCTTGTTTAATCGTTTAATCTATTGCTCGAGACTGTTTTCAGACCCGAGACCGGCCCGTCTAATATTGGCGTGTAGAGGTCATACAGTACAAAGACAACATAACTACACATAATCAGACATAGTTATAGATACCCAAAAATTAATGAGCAAAGAAGTATGCTTACACCTCTAATGTATATATACGGATATGCGAAACATAGTTCTAGTACCTTACTTTGTTGCAAGCCTTCGTGACTTCGTGACTCTTTATATTTTATATAATTACGAAGTGGTCTGCATAATTCATATATACATATATAGTTTTATGTATAGGTTGATAGGTTTACAGATAGTCCGAGGATTGCGAGGAGCTGCTACAGACAGACGCAGAAGACGATGAGGCATCTGGGACTTGATCAGGCCAAAGCCGCATGCAAGTAGTTGTCAATGTTTTTGTTTATTGTTTGCTTGACACCGCTTCGGCGAGCACATTTTGGAGAGTGCAACCAACGTTGAGCCCGGTCTGCTGCAAGATGCTAGGTTTGGAGCAGCATCGGCTTCTTTCAAGAATCGCCTTCTATCACGATGCCAGAATCTGGCACAATCGCGTCCGTGAAGCCGCCGAAGACGAAATCTCCCGTGGCTTCCATCGGTGAGACCACAGCCTTCGATGCTGGTGCCGCCTGGTTGCATTCCATCGCAAGGCGATGGAAGTTTCCAGTCAGAATTCTTCTCTTTTCTCGACTCGGGCAGCCAGGCCGCAAGAGTCCTTTCACCTGGAGCAGGCCTCCAGGCGCGCGAGATTCATCTTGCGGAGGCTTCCAGGCTGCAAACTGGAATGGCTCAACCTGCACACCTGCCGTTTCTCGCCTGGTTCTGCAAGCAATTGTTGAAAGCTCAAAAAGGCAGCATGATCACATAGTGGTGTGGCTAGTCCGAACTGCTATTTGCTGCTATTTCGTAGTGATCGAGGAAAGGACTTGGTTTTGCGACGTTTCACAGAAGCGAATGTTAGTTTCCACTTCGAGCACAACAGTTCCACCAATTCTTGTTTTAAGAACCCAAGTCAGCGTCGTGTTCAGGTGCCACCTCCGGCAGGCTCGACGTGCCCAAACGGACGCGTATGCTGGAATATCCTGGGATCCGCTTTAAGCTTGAACCGCCCTGCAGGGAACATGGCCGGTCGTCCTCCCTGTCCGGACTTGGATACGAGCAGTGCGAGCAGTCAGGACAGTCCTCGCTACGAACGGGACAGAGGCAGCAAGCAAGAATTCCTCTCCTCCGCCCCCATGAGCGAGAGTCAAAGCAAGAGGGTTGCGAGCGGCTTCCTCAACGACAACGATTTCTTTCATGTGAACGAAGTCGACGTCGAGTCCGCAGTGCGTGCCGCGTCCGCAAGAGCTCCTTCAGCGTTTCATGTCCGCCTACACACGAATCGTGATTTACTTCGAACGTGTTGCATTTGTTTTGAATGGTCGTTTGCTGGTGATTCGACGCTTCCAGGTCATCCTTTGCTTGAAGCCGTGCTTCAGAATCGACCTCGTGTCGTTAAAGCCCTCCTCCTCCTCGGCAGCCGTCGCTTGGATGCACAAACTCTAGGGTATCAGTAAGTCGTCGATGGGGCCCAATCGCCACCGGAAACTCCACAAGATATTTTGATGGCCGGAGGCTCAACGCAACTGAAGAATCCGAAAACACGACCTGACACCAGCAGACAGCAGATATATATATATATAGATAGACAGAGAGATTTATAGATATAGATATAGATATAGATATGTATGTATAAATAAATGAATATATATATATACACACACATATATATATATACACACAGATGAATATATGTTGCAGTGCAGCATCATCATCAAGGCTACATTGCAGGGGCACGTGGTGTCGGGGTGCTGGGTCCAATGGTGAAGAAGGTAAGCAAGAGTCCCTGACAAAACTCGCCCTGAACGCTGTAGATCATAAAAAATGTGACCTTCACGCAAGATCTCCGGCAACCATCCAGGTAAGGATGTGCGGAACTCCCACGGCCTCACGCCGTTGCAATTGGCACAACATCTTGAACGCGAACAAGGCGTGCATCGGGATCCGACTTCTTGTTGTTGTTTGCGCTCTGGCTATGGCTATGGGTTTTCGAGAATTGCCGCACTCTCCCTTTGCACAGGTGGCTTCCAGGAGGTCCTGCATGTCTTCGCCATGGACGACTCTGGTGGGGCACGTCTCCAAGAGGGAATCAAGGTTCGATCGGGTAGTGCAGAGCTGCTTTGCTCAGGTTGCTGGCCTGAGCGGTTCGTTAACTGATAGGTTCGCAGAGACACCTGCCGCTTGCTACCTGCTACCGGTCCTTTCGACGATTCACGAAGCGAAATTCTAGAGCAGTAGAGACAGCGGCATCAAGTGCACCGAACTCGACCATGCCTTCGCAGGTGATCAAGCACATCAAAGTGAACATCTGAGATCCCTTCAAAATCTGCATGTCCTCCGCGAACCTCCTTCCTCGTAGTTTAATAGGAGCTCCCGAGCAAGGTGAAGTCTTGAATAGCCATTTGTCTAGCGCAGTGGTCCCTGCGATTGCACTGCTTCGTGCAGTTTCAAAGTTTTGAAGCCGATAGCCGCCAGATATTGGGCCGCAGACGAATACTCTCGCCTCCAGTTTTTTTAGAGCGGCGAAGGGCTGGGCCTGGGTATGGCTCCACTTTTACGGCTTCAGGAAGCTTAAAGTCTTAAAGGCTGAAAAGCCTCGTAATGCTTATTGAAGCCTTATACATAGCCAAAGAGAAGACGCCGTCTCCGACTGCTAGAAGCCGACGTTTTGGTGTTTGTTTTGTTGTGCCGCCTGCTGGGCCGCAAAGCAGCTAAGCAAAGCTCACGGTTATGCTGCTTATACCCCGGAGAGCTCCCACAAGCTTGCGAGCTCTTTCAGTTGGTGAATTCGGAGCATCCGCAGAGATGCCCAATGCCAAGTTGGCATCGTCCATCGATGCCACGAGTCAGACTAATTACCTTGAAGCATGCAGTCGGCTGCTGCAAAGAGGCATGCTCTACGGTAGTGTCCGCCTCGAGCACGCACTTGCCGCTTCTCGGTGCAGAACAGTTACAGCCCCAGCCTAGTCATTATAATGCCGAGCTAGCTAGGCTAGGCTTCCGCATCGCAGCCGAAGCCGTTTCTCAACCGACGTCCACGGACCAGTTCGACTGATACCGACACCAACATGGCGCTCCAGCTCTTCTTTACGACAGAGAAGCGCGCAACTGAGAGGGGGTGGGACTTACTTTTTTATTGCAAGATGCGGAACACTTCGTTGATACCTTGGTCGAACTCCTGGTCTTGATGCTCCGCTTGTATCCTACCATGCTCATCTCGGGCTCTCGGCGGGCGGCTAGGAAAGTGCACGACATTGTCTAAGTAATGACTACAAGCGTACTAATCAGTGGAAGTTTACTGCTAGTAACTGCTAGTATGGCTCTTGTTTCTGGGTTTTTATACCCCAAAGATTTCGGGAAGCCTCTCCCAGGCCTGAGCTCCAAGATGAGAGTGATTCGAAGGACTCGGACACTTTTCGACCGCTGGGGAAAGGACATTTGGGGGAGCTTTGGGGTCGGGCAAGTCCGGTGCTTCACAAAACGCCATGCCATGTGTGGTGGTAGCAGTGGTGATGATAGGAATGTGTCATGTTCCGAGGATGCAGTGCTCCCGGGCACAAGGTTTGAAGTGCCTGCCAGGTCCAGGCTGCAGGTTGCAAATAGAGCTCGTGAGTCATGAGCCCTCCAGGATCCGTTTCCGAGGAGATGTACAGAGAGCAGTCCTTTTGCTCTACTCAGACCGGAAGCTGGACCACCGCCAGCAGCAGTTCCGACAACTTGTCTCGTTTCAGAGGCTCGAATACTAGCCGGGACTACAAACTCAAGATGATGGTGAAGGCCTTCTTAGAGTCAAACGGCTTCTTGCACGTCAACGAACCCCAGCATTCGTGGGGTCGCACTCGCACCTTGCTTGCAGTGAGAAAACGCTTGAGATCCTTTGCCATGTGGGGCATTTCTCCTCTCGCATATATGCAGGCTACCCATTGCACGTGGCGGTCTCCCAGAACAAGCCTGCGATTGTCAAAGCTTTGCTGCTCCTGGGTGCGCGGCGCAATGTGAAGACGCGGCGGGGCCTCACCCCGGAGGACCTAGCACGCCGCAGCGGCTTCGAAGAAGTCCTCAATGTTTTGGAACAAGCGACGCTCCAGAAAGAGAGCACGCTTGAAAGCTCCCAGTCGCAGTCTCGTCGGACGTTACAAATGTGATTGCGGAGCGCTGCCCAACGTGGCCGATCAAATTTGTAGTGGCACAGATCACTGCCTTCGACACCCGTGCATCCGAGGCGGCTGCTGGGCAGAATAGACACGAAGCTCCGAGGCTTCCATACCTAAGGCAATCGTAGGCAAGGAAGAGTAGACAAATTACATCTTGCAGCCGCCTCTGGATAGGGTGCTCCTAGCTGGTCCCGCGCACAGGCTCGGGCCAGATTAATTTAGTTGCAATGTGAAGGGTTTAGCGTGCCTTGCTTGCTTAGCAAGCTGGCGCTTCTGTAGTTTGTGCAGAACGCTTGCTTTCTTTCAGCTTTTGCCGGCGGCTCTGTTGCAAGGGCTACACAGGCATGTCTTGCAAGTCGCGGCTCAGCTGGCAGCGCTGCGTTCTGCAAGGCCATGGACGAGCCTCGAGCGCTCATAGAGACAAAAAAGCCATGGTTAGAGCTACCGATACGGCTGCAAGTGCAGCCATGAGCACTTGCAATTTGGAGAGCTCTCACGCAGCTGTTTGAGAGTTTGGGTCACGGCCACCTCATTCCCTCCAAGTCCTTCGGCAGACCAGGATGTGAGTTCGTTTCGTTTTGCAGAGCTACATTATCAAGCGCTTACACGGTTCTAGGCACACATCTTGGTAAGCGCTCGTGGCTGAAGTGCCAGATCGCTGCAGGATTCCCTTCCGAGCCGGAGATGTACAGGGAGCAGTCCTTCTCCTCCACCCAGACGGGAAGTTGGGAGACCAGCGAGGGCAGCCCAGAGCGAAAGGAAGGCACCTTGCCTCGTCCGAGGACTTGGCACCCTGCCACCCGGGACTACAAACTCAAGATGATGGCGAAGACCTTCTTGCAGGCTAACGGCTTCATGCACATCAACGAAGCCCAGCATTCGTGGGGTCGCACCCGTATCTTGGCAGAAGCATGGGAGTTGCAGCACCCACGTGTTTCAGATTCAGGGAATACACTGTAGCAGCCATGGCGATTGCTTGGCTTTGCCACGTAGTGTGCAGGATACCCATTGCATGTGGCGGTCTCCCAGAACAAGCCTGCGATTGTCAAAGCCTTGCTGCTCCTGGGCGCGCGGCGCAACGTGAAGACGCGGCGGGGCCTCACCCCGGAGGACCTAGCACGCCGCAGCGGCTTCGAAGAAGTCCTCAATGTTTTGGAACAAGCGACGCTCCAGGAAGAGAGCACGCTTGAAAGTTTTGCCTCGACGAATGGCATGGCGAGCATCCAAACGTGATGCCAGACTTGATTCGCATCCGCCAGTGAGGACACGATTGACGTCCTTGCCGGGCTGGTAGTCTGTCGTGCCATGTTTGTTTAGATCCCCGTGGTGGCATGTGAGCACATGGTATTGGCAACTGTGAAAGTCAATGTTGCTGCTGCTGATGTACGCTAGGCCTTGTAGAAGATTAACTTTTGGCGTCGCCGGTTGGCGGCATCTTTTGGCTAACAGATGCTTTGCATTTGCCACTCCCGAACAACCAAATTCGTTTCCATGGCTTGACTTGAGATCACTCAAGCATCTTCAGGTGCTGTGATTGTCAAGCCCCCAGAGGGGACGCTGGATCATTACGCACCCAAGTTTAGTTTGTCCAGGTGCGACTGGAAGGGTGAACCGTTGCAAAGAAACCCTCCAGCGCACACACACAGAGTCTGGAAAGCTGCATCTTGTTGGAACAGCTCACGCATTCCATGCACGGCTCCTAAGACCCGAGCACCCAAGCGGTGTTGCGATCTGCTTGCTGTCAGACAACGAACTTGCTGTGAGCTGGTCCTTGACGACTTGATAAGACTTATGTCGTTTGCCTTCGTAGGAAATGCTCATGCGCGGCGACTCAGCCAGCAATCTGCACTGACAGACAGAGCCAACGCGAGGGAGCAATGTCACCCCAGAGGGCATT